CTCACACACACACACACACACACACACACACACACACACACACACACACACACACACACACACACACACGCACACACACACAGATGGTATCGTTGCGTTAAAGAGTCCCTATGTACACGTTTCGCCCACTTCGAGTGCTACTCATTCATAAGAAATTGAGCCAGTTCCTTATGTCCATCAACGAGTTTTCAGAAGCTAGCTGTCGAAAGAGGTTTGCAGTTGCTTGAGTTAGGACGCTGCGGTGCAGAAGGAGGAGACGGGCAATCGTGGCTATCAGCGTCGTCATGGTCGGGATTGCTAGGCGGGGATCTCATGCGAAGGAAACCGTAGACTGACGTACGCGGGGAAGAGGATGAGGCAAACTATATAGCCCAACGACCAGCGACACAGTAGAGCTGTGTCGGGCCGTGGAGAGCCTACCTCGAGAGGCAGGAGGGGCAAGACGAACGGAGAGGGGCGAGGGGGCAGCTTGGCGGACAGAAGGGAGGAGCAAGGACGAGGTCGTGCGCAAACAGGAGAGTGGTGATCGATGTTATTCAAATTTTAACTATATGCTCCGGTCCTCCCGATCAGTTTGAGCAATGCTTTTTTTTTTTTTTTTAATACCAGACTTGCAATATGGGAACTTCATTTCAACGGCCCATATTGCACGTCAACAACAGATGAGCAAACATATAACCATCTGTCAGACTGTCACAGCTTTTGAAAGCAAGTGAAGGAACCGATCCTAAAAGAGTTAGTTAAAAGAACACACAAAAGGATATCGATTCGTGAGACCTATACTCGCCTCCACTATGCAACTCAAGTACCACGAACACCACTCGAATCCATCACGATCACGCCAAGTGTCACACGGGGAATCGATCGTCAGCTCGCAGCAGTGCTGTGGTCCCCACCTACCCCGCGGGCTGGGGAGAGATCCGGGTTGGTTGGCGTTCCCCCGTAGGGCCCGTACTATACATACATAGACTAGTGAGAGGATGAGAGAGATAGCGTACTACCGAGAAAGATGATGAAATAGATGAGAGAAGAATATAGCTTACTTCCAAAAAAAAAAAAAAAAAAAAAAAAAAAGGGATTAAATATCCGTATCCGCTCCCTGCTCCATCGTACACGACGTACAGGAGTTTACAGTGCGAATGACCTTTTCTCTAGTTGGAAGAAACTCGCCCAAGCGTCGAATCATATAGAATTTCACAAAACTGAAAATAATTATACAAAAACAAGGTCCTATCAGTAGTGCTCAGTGCAACGACAAAATTTTAGATCAGATCTAGAGTCAATATTTCGGACATGTGCATTAAACTGACGGATTCGATCTTGCGTTCTAGTCCTGATGAATTCTACTAACGTTGAGGCGTAATCTGCTCTGACGAAAGAGGAAAAAAAGAACAACTTGAAGGCGAGGCGGGCAACGAGGGAGCTGAAGCTGAACGAGGGAGCTGAAGCTGAAGCTGAACGAGGGAGCTGAAGCTGAAGCTGAAGCTGGGGCTGTTCGCCAATTGAAGAAGAAGCTTGAGCAGCAAACGAGCATACAAGCAACTCCGCCGGGGGTAATCAATAGCGGAGTGTGTGGGGGGGGGGAGGGACAGGTTGGTCAAACTCGCAGATTGCACCCAGAAAAAAAATACACACCAGCAAAAAAAAAACAAAAGAGGAAAAATAGAAAGGGGAGCTGAAGACTTAAACCGGGCGATCGAGATCAGAATCACAGGACGCAGGGTGGCTCTTTCCTAAAACGATAGAAGATGAAGACTACAGCGCCACCTATAGTTAACGAGACCACGCAAACTGTGACAAGCACGCCAGAGATCACGCCCACGCGAACACCACTACTCGATTTCTTATGGGCTCTTGCCGGTGAAGAAGTGGAGAGCGCCTCGACCAACATATTACCGACAAATGTACCACTGCCGTTATCCACCTGCGAAGACGATGATCCCGTTGCTGGCGACGACCAGATCTGCGCATCTGTCTCCGGATATGCATCAGTGGAAGGCGCTGGCGATGAGAATGATGATGATGGCGCTGTCGACGCTGCTGTGGATGGTGCTGTCGACGCTGCTGTGGATGGTGCTGTAGATGGCGATGACTCTATCTCGGGGTTTGTGGTTCCACTGGACCGAGTCGGCGATGTCGAAGATGATGATGCTGTCGATGGTGCTGTGGATGGTGCTGCGGATGATGCTGTTAATGATGATGCCGATGGCCATGACTCCACCTCTGGGTTTGTGGCTCCAGTTGATGACGCTGGCGATGGCGATGATGATGATGCTGGCGATGGTGATGTGGATGGTGCTGCCGGTGGTGCTGTCGATGATGCCATCGACGGCGATGAGTGTATCTCTGGGTTTGTCGCTCGAGTGGATGGCGCTGACGATGGCGATGATGATGATGATGATGATGATGATGATGATGATGGCGATGGTTCTGTCGATGATGCTGTCGATGGTGAGTTCCATGAAGGTGTCGATGGCGATGGGGTTGACGATGATTCCGTCGATGGTGGCGATGGCGTTAATGATGTCTCCGTAAATGGTGCTTTCAATGGCGATGGCAATGAAAAGGAGAATTCGTTCTCTGGCCCTGGCGATGGCGATGAATGCGGTGGACTACTGCCTGTCGGTGCTGCTGGTGTTGGAAACGCACCGCTGCGTTGGTGCAGTCCCAGCTTGTTGATTGACAGCTCGAACAGCTTGCCGTTCTGGATCGACACGTACAAATGACTGTCATCGTTGTCCAAAGCAACCGCCCCAATCATGCATCCTCCCGGGAACTTGAAGGTGCATCTTGCGACGGTCTCCAAGTTAATCGCCTTTCCTCTCGGCTTGTCCAAAGCCACCCAAACGACGCTCATCGCCCCATCGTCGACGAAGAACAAGTTGCATCCATCTTGCGTCAGCACGGGCTCTCCCAAGTTAACAAGCTGTGCGAAGTTAATCACCGGCACCGGGTTACCCACGGAATCGGCCATCACGGTCCCAGTCACCCGGTCGATGGTTCCGCTAAGTGTGTTAAATCCTAGAACGGAAGCGTTAGCTTTGTCCCTGGCGTATAGGTAGCTCCCATCTTGGACAAAGCTTCGATRTCCGAAGGAGAGGGATGARAGCTTGGTGTCGTTCGGGCATGCTACTCTTGTGAAATCGCTGAGGAAGTTGCCCGGCGACTCGCCATCCATCGCCGAGTACACAAGGCAGCCACGTCTCCCCAGGTACAGAATCGTGCAGTTCGGATTGAATGCCGCGAACTGACAGTCTACGTCGGAGATGGGTTGAGCGGTTGTGGAACCATCCGTGGTGTTGACGAATGCCAGACCTTTGTCCAATAAGGGCAGAACGAGATGCCGCTCGCTCCGCGACAGATCGAACGCCAAGTAGTCGGCACTTTCCGCAGTGCCGTTCAGGCTTCCCGACGTCCATCTCAGAGTCAGCGGAAAGGAGTCGCCCTGCGCGTCCCCAGCGCTGGCAATCGCGCGCAAATCCCCCTTGTGCAGGGACCGATTTCCGCTAGCCTGGTTTGTTGTACTACTCAAGCAGCCATCCTCCTTTATGTAGAAGAACACCCCCCTCTCGGAGGTAAATAGGACGCTCCTGACCCACTTCAAACACAAAATGTCACCCGGCGAACGACCAACGGAACTAGTAACCGTCAACACTACGCGGGGACTTTGAAGAAGAGACCTGTTTGTGATGGACAGACCGGTCGAGGGAGCCTGCAGCCTTCTCTCTCCTCGCACACTGTCAATGCCACGATGAAAGCAATCCGTTCGTTCTTCACCGCAGTCCCTCGCTCTCTGCGTTGTCACGACTCCATCTCCTCCAACTACCACTCCCACTTCGACCGGCATGACTGCCACCATCATCGCCATCATCATCACCAGCATCGTGACCATCGCCACCATCGTCACCGTCAGCATCATCCACGAGCTTGAGAGGCGAGCGCGAGGCCCCATGATTGATTGCTAAAGGGTCGGGAGAAGGGAAGAGGAAGGCAGTTCACGCAGACCCGTAGGTATCTCGAGGATGGAAACGTGACACCTCAGCTTCGGACGATCTCTGAAAGGACTGGTGAGAGAAACTAGAAATAGACAGTAAGACGCTTGCCGCATCGGCACAGAGGAGCCCCACCTCTACGAGTGACAGAGTCGGTCAGATTCACCTCAACACATCTATGAAAAAGTACAGGCGAGGCGAGTAGGCATGCCTCCGCAGTGCTGCTTCGACCAATTATCGCTGTGTACTCTACGACAAGGAGTCAGCAGACTCGGCACGTGGAGCGCGAAGTGACGACAGGGGACAAGAAGCTGCGCGCAGGGACGGAGCGGCCAAACGGAAGGGAAAGCAGGGAGGCACACACACGCAACGTTCAATCACACATGAACGAGCGCGCGAAAAGTGCGCACACACGCACACCCACAGAGAGAGAGAGAGAGAGAGAGAGAGAGAGAGAGAGAGAGAGAGAGAGAGAGAGAGAGAGAGAGAGAGAGAGAGAGAGAGAGAGA